AGGATGAAGCAAACAGTCTTCAAAACCAAGGGTCTTTAATCGTGGTAGTCATCTTGGAGTGATCGGGTTTGGTTTCGGTTTTGCCAAACACTCGAGACCAAGCCCCGGTCACTCTAAGATACCTACCAAGACTAAGAAGCCTTCATTTCGAAGGCTGTTTGCTTCAACCTACACTTCACCTCTGCAATCGACCAAGTCTGAGTCCTGGTAAATTAGTACAGTATTGCATCAGTGGTACAGTAGTAGAACGGTAATCGTGCAGTAGTACAGTAGTAGTACAGTATCTAGAGCTGTTCAGCAGGGATTGGGGGTTGGGCCAAAAGGTTCCTGTGAACCTCTATAAGTTACGATTGACCATTAGCACACAAGGCTGAAGCAAACCTCCAACAAATTCCGGGCCGAATTCACCAAAACGCATTCTTGATTCGTCAAGATTGTCACGCCGAAATGAACAAGCCAAAATATCCGTTGCAGAGGCTCACGACACTAAAGACAGTCGCACATTGCTTCAACTATCTAGGCACCTACATTGTCGACTTGGTTACAGCCTCAGGAAGGGCAGGCCAATGGCGTCGATCAAACGAAGTGGGAGTCTTGGCATGAAGGCCCGGGTGGCGCATTGAGTGGACGCAAAAACTGAATTATCGAAATGCTGGTGATAAGCCATGACCCACCGAGTTTGGGGTAGTCGATCTTATGCACGATTTGTCCCAGGCAGGAGCATAATCTTGCTCGGTTGCTCGTTCATCCGCGGAGTTTGATGTTGAGTGAGCCTCTGCGCAAGGCGCCCACCTCCTGACCAAGAATCCAAGCTGTTCCAGGGCGTTCAACGACGCTTCCCGCTTGCATTGAACCCCAACATGTCTTCTGGTGCATTGGTAGCACCACCTTCATGTCCACCCATAGCGCGAACATTTCGAGGTGCTGGACAGAATCTGTGACCATTTCAGCATCGCGAATGGGCACTTGCGGCACTCGGCGAGTCGAGAGGTTATGGGAACGCGCGTCTTGACTGAATCACTGCTGTTTGATCTCCATGAAATCTCGCAAGATCCCCGATGCTTCACGGAAGCTGAATTGAGAAGCGGGGCTCATCACACGGCCCCCTCAGAAGGTTTTTGGTGTTAAGTTTGCGAAACTTCTGAGCAGGGTGGGGGAATGGGTCTGCGGGTTGTGATAGGCCACCAGGAAATCTTTGTTTGAGATTTGTAGGAGGATGAAGGGAGGGGCTCCAAACAACAGCTACACATGACCATTTAAGCACGGGTTTTCGAACATATACATGGACCCATTCTTGGGCAGCATGCGACCGTTTAAGTCCACATGCAGGTCGCCACACAGCTCCCGCAAGCACTTGGGCCGTTTGCATGTGGGCACATTCATTTATATCATGGAGCTTCCATCTGACGGGAGCTTTATGTTGTGCATGGAGACGGTTTAGGGTTTAGGGGTTTAGGGTTTAGGGGTTTAGGGTTTAGTTGATGTTCGGTATTTTCTGAAGCTCCCAGTGACCGAGGCTTCAACTGGTACAGGGACGGTTCGGATTGGAAACCTTTCCACCACGATGCGGCCGCCTTTAACCCGCGAATGGCAGAAAAGCAGAACTGCGACTTTGCTGATTTATTTGGGCTCACTTGTAGTGCAGGGACGTTTGGCGGCATGACCGTGTCGGCGGAAGGATGTCGCCGCAGATATTTTTTTGCAATGGGTGTTCTGTCCGAGATACGCAAAGCCATCATGCTCAAGTTTACAGTAAAGAGGCCCCTAAAATTTTCAGTGTGCTCTATGTGTTCGTTGGCTGCCGCCGACTCAGCGATTCCTCCCACTCGATGCTGTATACACAGTGCATAGAGAGTTGGTCTGCCACAATGCATTCAATACCTCTGCCCCGCACCTGAACGGTAATCTAGCATCCTCTCTCCATAGTCACCAGACGTAGCAGTACCGTGGAAGGCTGCAGTGGTCCCTCAGGTCACGCACGTCTTTAACAGAGGGTGTGAAGCTTCTGCAACGACCCACTTGAGTCACTAGTGCATAAGTCACTGTCACAGGCACGTTCAATTCCAATATACCCTAAAACGTAGGATCCTCATTCTGGATCCCCGGTCCAGCACTTTTTCCGAAAGCTCGCCCCCAGCCCCAGCATGCGCTATGAGGCACCGTGGGTGTATCCTTCGGATCTTCGCGGGAGCTGGCTTTCCGGAATACGGCGAGTCGCGATTTGATTTACTTTCCACAGCGCCTTGGCCGCAGGTTCAGGAATCCTGATGTTGAGGGGTGCCTGATCTAGGGGACTTCATAACATGACTGTCCGAGGTAGCTTGAGGGTTTAGGGTAAGCTGCAGCTGAAGGAAGGCGACCGCTGTATCCTCGCAGTTTTTTTTGCATGCGTGCTGCGTAGTTGCATCTCTTTGATGTTTATTCGTAGGTTTGCTTTGGTGTAGCTTATGAAGTTCAGCAAGGGGGCTTGCTATTTCTGTGCTCTTGCTGGAAGCTTGATCTCATGACAATACCCGCACCACCACTACAGAAACTTTTTGGCAGCAGCACTAGCAGATCACCATCTCGAGCAAGTTCAACGGAGCCTCGAAGCACAATAAGCTTTTTTGAGCAGGGACTGCAATGCACGAAGCTCTGAATCCCAAACGTCAGCACTTATGCACAATAAGCTAAACCCCAAAACTCCACTCCGCAGGAGCAATGGCATGCTCTTCTTCTTTGGTCGAGATGTGAACATCCGCTGGCAGCCCCTTGGCGAAGGAGGACGAATCGGAATTGGTAGACCTGGCCCTGTACAAAAATCAAAGGTGTATGGTTTTTTGCGGCATGATTACTGACAGCACCAATGCCTCTGTCGTAACCCTTCTGTCTCTGTATGTTGGATTCCATCTGGGTTCTCCTTGTGCTCGTGAGCTTCGAGGCAAGCACATTGCGGTGTTGTAGTGCCGTTAGCCGACACGCGATTCGTGCTGGTCTCGTGATACATGTCGAGAACCCTTTATCCTACAACGGAAACGTTGCAGCCGAATAAAAGAACACTAAAACCAAATAGCCTGACAGCAAATGGTTCTATCCCCAACACGAAATGGTCCAAACGGAAGTCTTTGCTGTAGGCATGGACTGAACGCCCTGCCCTTGGAGCAGCAGAGCGGCAAGGGCCGAATCTCGATCATCCTGCGCCTGGTCTGAACTTCGAATCTGCGGTCAGGGGTTTGTACAGGATGCATGTTTGCATGTCTGCATGTATGTACACACAGTGCCAGATACATGCATAGGCACGTAAGTTACATATGTAGACATACGTACATACATACAGACACGCATCCCCGCATACGCACATATACGTGCATGCATACCTGCCTGCCTGCTAGCCTGCCTGGCCTGCCTACCAACCTACTTACATACGTTCGCACATGTGACCATCGTGAGTTTCGGAAAAAGCTTCGAGATGGACGTGCTGCTGGGAGCAATGATGTCCGGATGAATTTTGGAAGGCTGAGGTGAGGTTCGATCCAAAACGGGAAGGTTGGCCAGCTTGCCCTGTAAGGTCGTTGTCTTCATACTGTTCACAACACACCATGTTCAGGGTTCAGGAGGGGTGCAAGGGTTTCTGCTTTGGATCTCGACACCGAGTCCAGAAATTCCCACCCTGATGGACCTTTGAAGCTTGAATGTCGGACTGGAGGTGGGGCCTTTGCCAGCTGGCAATTGAGGAGATGGGATCACCACCCATGCTGCCACCCCGAGATGATGGCAAGGTGGGCTTGGCTTCAGCGTCAGGGTTGGGATTTTTCACAGTCAGGCAAGTTCCCATGGTTTCCAGGCAGTCATGTCGACTTGTCTCAGGATGCCTTGTTGAGCGTCTGCTGTTTGGCGTCAGCATTAGCATGGTGCGCGCCTGGCCAGGGCAAGGGAAAGGGCAAAACCAAAGACACGAGACGAGAGCCTGGCAGGACTCTTGGCCATTTTGGGCCCAGCAGTTGGACTTTCCCTTTGTGAGTCAAGTCGCGGCATCTTGATGCACTTGTGTCCCCTGTTTGCCTACCAAGGAATCTCCAGATGGGCCAGCGGCATTTCGGCAGCCGTCCACATGGAAACGGCTAAGACTGAGCACAAACAAAATGTGCCCGTAGCTTGGCGCACCTTGAACAAGCAGGCTGTGAAGCCGCCTTGGGCCTTTGACCTGCAAGATTCGAAAATGGACCCCAGCAGCCCAGAACGAGGTTACTGTAAGCATCACGAGTGCCGAGATTTCCTGTGCTTGACCTTAACGGCATAAGGAGACGGATGTTCGAAGTCTTTGGCAGCTGCAGTCCACAGCCTGGACCTTCGCAAGAGTTCCTTTGGCCCCTTGCACCCTTCTCTGTTCCCATCCGCCCTTGTTACAGTCCAGTTTTTCAGCACAACCTCGTGTCCTCGGCAAACTCTTGAGCCATGACCAACGTCAGACCTAGAGCTGTTTGATATCGGCCCTGCACTTTTCGACGAGAGATGGCCGCAGCACCCACATGTGCAGGCCTTTGTAAGCCAAAGCTTTAGTGTACGAGAATAGCTTAGCGTTAGATTAAGATAATGTTTCAGTTTTCTTATATACTACAAGTAGCATACTGTTGTTATATCATCAAACCCATACAAGAGCTGCATCTGCTCTCCCAGTATGTTCCAGCACAGGACCAGCAGGCCTGCACGTTGAAGGTGCCCTCGAGTGCCTTAGTGTTGGGACCACTGGGGAGCGAGCCCAAAAGAAGCGCCAGACTTGTTGGGGCGGGTTTAGGGTTTAGGGTTTAGATCTCGTACGAGTTGGATTCCGGGACGCTGCGTTGGTGTACAGCACAGCAAGCCTGTGCCGTGCCGGAGCTTCCCACCGTGTTGAATAAGTCCACTACTTCGCAACGTGCCGCACTCTGCGAACCCATCGGTCTGGAGTCTACGTGACGTACTTTGGGGCTATGGAACATCAGCCTTTGTCTGCACCCCGAAATAGCCTCAAGTTTCCCGAGGCTGGAAAGTCGCTGCTCAGCTCCTGCAAGGAAGCGAGGAGGAGGCAAAGCAGCCTCAGAGTAGGAGCCCGACAAAGACGCTATCGCGAAGGCCCTTCGGGGGATTATCACCGAGTCCTAAACCCCGGGACCCTGAAAGTTTCAGGTCTCGAGCCGCTGAGACCTCAGCTCGAAATATACTTTGGGGCCTTAAGTACCTATACCATTTTGGGTGGTTCCTTATCTTTTGTTACAGTATATTATAACCCCAAACCCTATTCTAATTATCAAGGCCCCTATATTAGAGCTGGTTAGTCGAATCGAGGCATCCATGTCACGAACAGACTTCCGCAGCCAGGACCCCACAGAGGCCACGAAATGAAAATCAACCCCGATGCGTGCCTAGCCCAATGGGAGCCAATGGGAGGTTCAGGAAAAGCACGGAAGCCTGTTATAGGCCTTCAGTATCCCTCAGTACTAGTACTGCAGATATAGAGCGATACTTATGTAACGCTTAAGGACCCTCCGTTTTAAGAAGCCTGTTTACAGAGTGCATTGCCCTCTAGCCCTCTGACTCTCCCCTCTCTCGAGTAGCAGATTTGGACGAGTTCCCTGCGGTGCGATTGAAAAAAGAAGCCTCTAAATCCTCTATCTACATCCCCATGCAGGACTTGTTGGACCTTGTTCAATGCAACGCAGTCATCGCCGCAATCGCAGCTAGCGATCTTCCACATCCATGGGTGTGGCTCTTACGCTGGTTCACGGTTTAGGGTTTCTTGTCGAGTTTGGGGGTTACCACCCTGCGGCTTTGAGGTTTGGGTGTTTCTTGCATGGGCCTAAGATACTAGATGACACGCCTGTAGGGCACTTGTGGAGTGAATGTCGAGCCGTTCGCAACACTCCATCTAGCAAAAACGGATCTAATCAAAAATAGACGTCCAAAGAAGGTATGCTACTATATGGCTTAAAGATATGCCATGTTTCAGACTCAAGCAGGCGCCGGAGTTCGGTTGTAACCACGTCTGAGGGGCGGCCCCAAAAAGCCGCAAGCCCGTCTCGGAAGTTGTGATTTCAGGGTTTTCCAGGTAAGTTTGGTGGCGGAGTTTCGGAACGGAGTCCGGGACAGTTTCGGATCGGGACATGGTCAAAATTCGGGTCTCAGGGCATGGCCAGTTTCAGGCCAATCCCTGCAAGAATCGGACCGAAACTGCGCCAATCTGACAGACCTGCGTCCCGAAACTGACTGCAGTTGTGCCGAAACCGGGCGCCGAAACTATCCCACTCTGATCCGTCACCTGTGGCAGCCCATCCGAAGCTAGAACTACGAACGACGGGTACAGGTCGCAGCTTTGCGGCTCTTGGATCTGGAGAGGGGCTTCGGCCTTCAGGCACAAGTCTGTAAGAGACACGAGAAATATATTGGAGTTTCTATCTGTCCGTTTTTCTTTGTTGTAGGAGTCTCTGTGGGGACTTCTGCACTTTAGAAGAGAGGAAGGGCTCCAGCATTGAGGCCAGTGCCATCTTATACCCTAGCCCTGAGAAGCATGTGAATTTAGACTGCTACCCATCACCCAGGCCGGACTATCTGTTCCTTGTGGCGGCAAGTTCATTATGCCATATTATGCCCTTGTGCTGAGACCACGGCATGTCGCAAGCCCGATTTGCTTGGGCCATGACAACTGCTTCCTTATAGATCACGTTCAGGTTTCGCTGGAATTGATCTTGATTGCCTTTGCCAACCTCGGGAACATGCTGCAATACGTTTCAGGGCGACTATAATTTTGACCGCTGGGCCACCCAATGGCAAATCGCAGCGGGACGCGTAGCGAGCAATTTGGTCCTGGCAGGTGGATGCCGTGGCTTTGAATTCGGTGATCAGCAGCGGGCTCGTTGGTCCAATAGCCACTGAAGTGCACTGCATCGGGAGCTGGGAGCAGTAGACCTGTAGCGAACAAAACACTGATGATGATAACGGTAGCAACACAGCGAAAACGGATACATACGAAGCCCACGTGCATGTGGCCATAGTGACGACATGATGAGTGGTCTAAGGTAGCTTCGAGGCACCCTAGGCAGTCATAGTCATAGTCGCATCGGTAAGTAAGGGCAGAAGCGCTAGCAACATCCATTCCTTTGATTTGAACTCTATGCTGACGTTTGCTAAGAAGTTATTTGTTCCTTATTGTCAAGCACCTGGAACCTTCATGAGTGCCAGGTTCCTGTGGGGAGACGGAGGGCATCGCAGCCTGGCAGTGCCGCCCCAAGCCTGAAGCCCTGCAGACGTCCTTGAGGAATTTACTTGACTGAGTCATGACGCCGGGAAAATGCAATTACGGAGGTTTTTCCGCTAGGTCTGGCTCCTTGGGTGAGCCTCAGTCCAAACGTACCCCTGATGTTTCCAATCAAGACAGCAGGGCCCAAACAAGGACATAGATTCGCCCTTCTGAGCTGTGACAAGCTGCCAAGCTTCCAATCCGATACAGACATCGTGGAATAGGGTGAACTTCCGAAGTGCCTCGCAGTGCACATCGCTCGCGCTCCAGCGGCAAACATCGAGCAGTCTGACATGCTGTTGGGGTTGAGACTTCACCGTCATGCTGTTCTCACCGCTTCATCCATTCAACAACGCCCGGATGCACAACCGAATGGTTGTCACATTGTTTGCAATCGTCTGGCCCATGTAGTGCTCATCTGCTCAGCACACGGCCGCTATGCATATGTTTGGAGTATTATGCCGCCCTGCAGTTCAGCGCCGAACTTGGGATGTTACCGGTAGATTCCCAGCCCAGGGGCCCTAGGGGCGCATATAGTTTGAGCTTCCGTTTCGTTTGACACTGCATGGTCGGTGCTCAAGTTAACCAGAGAACATCTTCAGCCCTGCCCGAAGGACTGGGGCTTCAGGGCGCCAAGGAAGCCTAACCACCAGCCTCCCTCCCCTGCACCGCAGTCGGAAAGTTTTAGAATTGCCTGACAACTCCAGCCTGTTTTACTTTGACAACCCTTCGGATGAGGCGCGCCTTGGTTCTCTGCGACTTGTCCTCACCGTTGCGCCACAGCCCGAGTGCGGCTTCGCACACTGCAAGAAGGACCTTCTGAAAACGATCCATCTCACCTATCAAGCACATGTTGAAACGGACCACTTGCATCGTTCCCGCTCCATAACCGCTTTTTCCCAGAGATTTCCTGTTCAGTTGTTCGCAATCCGGCCCAGAGCTGCCCAGGCCTTAAGGCCCCCTGAGCATCTGGACCATCGGGCTAAGGCGTGCAACTAGATATCATCGGCGACCCTGGCAAGATTGTCCTGCATCTCTCACTGACCTTGTTGCGGTTTGAAGGGGGGGCGTGCGGCATTGCATGTCCGGAGCTAACGCTGCCGTTTTCGTGCTCAACAAGGCTGATCTCCTTTGTCTTCTGGTCTTGCGGAATGGAAGAAGATTGCTTAGGAATACTTCAGTCGCAAGCTTGCCACGAGGGTCTTGGTATTCCTTGCTTCACAGCCCCCCCAATAGCCCAAAGCTTCAAGTCTGAGCCACTTGGGAGTTTCCGAACACATGGGACCCTAATATAGTACCCTAAATAGTAGGATCCTTAGTATAAGGACCCCCAAATAAGGGTACCCCCTAATCTTCGGAAAAGCGCATTTCGATTTTCGATGCTGCACGTGGTGTCCTTGACGGGCGAGAAGGTGCTGGAGGTGGGCTGGGAGCTCCTCGGACCTCTCTTGGAGCCTTCGGATTCAGAGTACCACAGGCAGCCTGCGGCCTCGTTACATTGCGATGAAATCAAACCTGGCGTGATTCTGTCAGATGTACCAGGTTGGCTCTGCTCTGCTGAGCTGTGTCACTAATAGGATCATACACTGATCTACTATGGGATGGTTATGTGTCTAGGTGGTGCGCCATGTCATATAGTAAGTGTCAGTCTACTTGTTCACATTCTGCTATATCATCTGCGTCTATGTGCATGACAACGATGATTGAGCATTTGTATGCATGTATGTATGTATGTATGTAGGTATCGTATGGTAATGGTATTGTGTGGTGTGGTGTGGTCTGGTGGGGATGGTGCGGTATGGTATGATGTGGTGTGGAGTTAAGCATATTTTACACAGATATTCATACACGTATCTAAACGAATTATACAGGTATTTACGTGTACAAACAAACAAACATACAAACATATCTACATATGTGCGCGTGTCGTGATCTTGAAGTGTGCCGTCGTGGGACTTCGCGAGGACCTGACTCCGCCCTCTGTGTTTACTCCTGGTACTGGCCATTCCAGATATTCTCAAAGAAAGGCGAGAAACAGAAGCCAGAAAGCTTGAAATTATTTATCAGAGCACAGATGGCCCAATACTGGGTCCGAAGCTTTCCAGCAGCCGCTATTTAATTTTCTGGCATCTGGCAAGCCCAGTTTTAGAAAGAGGGATGTTCAGGTTGGGATACCCTTGGACTCCAAACAGAATCAAAACCAGGAGGTACAGTGTAGGGAGCAGACTCAGATCTCATGCGCATCCACCAAGGGCTCGGGAGAAACTTGCCACGGAGGGTCTTGGCAGCTTCGTGAAACGACAGCTGTGTGAGACTCTCGGCTACATGGAGACGGCCTTGGGTCTTCGGTGTTTTGCCACTAGAAGTTAGCGCACAGCGAAGCATTAAGGTCATGGTCATCTGCCGCACATCAGTATCAGGAACTATGGGACTCTAGCATACATGCGATATTGTAGAATGCTTAAGTTGTCAGGACTTAAACGTGCCCGATCAAGAAATCCGCTTAGCTTGTAGAGTAAAGTAGAAGCTCAGGCCTGCGACCTTCCAGTCTGCAGTCGAAGAGCGGGTAACGCACGTTCGGAGTGAAAGTTTATGCCGTGGAGACGATATGTAGCCGTCTAGAATGGTCAGTGGTCAGTCTTTTGTTCTTCGCCACCTCATAGCTTGTGCATCCTTCTTTTTATGAACCTAGGGGGCTGCTAACTTAGCTCCACGCTGGAGGAGTTGCAAACCTGACGTCGCTGCTCTATTTACACCCCTAAGCCCGTATTTTTAGGTGTTCGTATCAGCAATTATTACTGTTCTTGTTATTACTATGGTTCTTCTTCTTGCTCTTCTTCTGGTTTTTCACCTTATATTGTTTGTTGTATTGCTATTATTATTATTAGTAGTTTCATTATTATGTTAGATCCCGTGAGCTGCAAGGCTCCAAGGCATCTCCAAGTTCCAGCAGCGTCTCCTACACGGGGACACCGCAAGGGTTAATTATGCTATACGATACTATAGTACTGTACATTATAGTATATTGTATAATATCATATCGTATAGTATATTATCATATACTGGTTATAGGCAGGGCGTACGGTTCGTGGCGCCGGTTTCCAGGCCTCGATTTTTTAATAGGGCTTGAGCTTTGGAGTAAGCGTCAGGGCTTAGGGAAATAGAGGTCTGGCATAAAGGGTCTGAAGGCCATACTATAAAAGCCTTGCGTTCGGAACTAGCAGGGCCACCACGACTCTTTGCGTTGCCGAGCGCGCTTGTCTAGAGTACCTGCCAGGAGACACTGTTCAGCTGACTTCTATGGATCGCCTTTATGAAGAGAATCGCAGCCTTGAGGTGACTTGCCCGGCTCTTGCCTCCTCGTTGGCACCAGTATCCGGTTCATGGAACTTCAAACCCCAAAAGCCCAAACCTGAGCTCGTTTGTCATGTGAAGCAGTTGCTGTCTTTGGGAGGCATGCGCTTGTAATCGCGCAGTTGGTTTTGGCGTCTCTGCTTGCCCATACGACACCCTGTTTCAGTTCTCACTTGTCCGACCGTTGTACCAGATACCAAGCCTCGCCATGCCTCGCCTAGAGCATCCGAGTGCGAGTGCGAAGCCCTACTTCCTGCAACAGAAGCTTATCCGCCCCCCAAACAAAAAAGCGAACGTTGTTTCCCGAAGCTTCCTCGCTTGTGGACTTCGATTCCTGCCATAGGAGAGGGAACAAAAAAGCACGCCTAAATCAGAACCGAGCCCCCAACCCAACCCCTGCGGCTGCAGGACAACATCCTGCCCGACGATGCGTTTTGGGAGGACGTCGGCCGGCCGGAGGCAGAGAGAGCCCGGGTTCTTTGAGCATGGGATCCGGTCCAACGCGCCAAGACGGACGCCTATTTGCGTTTGACTGCAATTAAGAGGCATGCATGCATGCATACATACATACCACGTGCATACTTGCCTGCATACGGACGTGCAGAAACACATATGCACGTACATACTATCATGCAAACATCTTTGACAGAAATACACCTACATACATTAATCGCATGTACTTATGTATCTATTTATGTGCACATGTACCTGGAGTGTCGAAGAGATGTGCTGGCAAACACAGAAGGGGAGATACTAAAGCCAGTGTCGATTCCGAAGCAAACGGCCAACGTCGGGATTTTGCTATCAGCATCGTCCTTTGGGGTGGCAGGGGCATGGGAGCCTCGGACACAGTTCATAAAATCGGAGACACTAGGGTGAATTAAATGAGTGGATTTAGTCGAGGACTTTTTCAGTGTGAGTGTTGTCGGTTTTTCCTTTCTTCGGGAACGCTGGCAGTAAGCCTGGCAGTCAATACATGCAGTGGCGATAGCATTCGCAGCAGGTGTACATGGATCGTCGGTTCAGCAGGCTACAGTAGTGATTTTGGAAGCACGGATGCTTTAAATTCACTAGTGTCGTTGATTTGGACCATTGGAGGTTCGGGCTGGAGTCTGCAAGAGGATTTGAAGTTGTGTCGCTCTGCATCGTACCGGATCCTAACCAACGAGCTCTGACGCCAACACCGCCTACACCTCTCCGCGCCGAACACCCTGAATCCACAGGAGATCCACATCATCTTCGGTCAGCTGGTGAATGACTTCGACAAGGACCACGCGCGCTGCGCACAGAAGCGAGATTCACGAGTTTACGAAACGAGGTCGGACAGGCTAGACGATTAGAATTCACAAGCCTGTAGTGCCGATTGGACCTCCAAAACGAGGAGCTGTTGAAAGCATCGAGCAGTGGCGATGCGGAAGCTGCGCGAAACGCTGCTCGGCTGGCTTGTCAAACTGCCGACCCAGCACCCTCTCGCTGCGACTCCAGCCCCGAGACCTGCCGCGCTCTGGCTACCCTCATGAACGCCCACTACGACGACGACGACTACTACTACTATACTACTACTATACTACCACCACGACCACTACAACTGCACCACTAACCACTAGCAGTAACACTGGCACTACGACTACCACTACCACTACCGTTGCCACTACCACTACCACTACCGCTGCTACCAATTGATGCAACTATCACCGCCGCCATATCACTTACTACTCCGTTTGATGCCAGGTCGGTTGCTTTGGTGTTTTTCGATTGGTACTGCTTGCTTTTATTTATATGACTACCCCACTCACCATGCGGAGAGGCCGCACAACGACTGATGTTACTGCATTGACGTGGGCTTGCTAATTGGTTGCCCACAATCATTGTCATACAGCCACTCCTGCGCATCGTTTGGTACTTAACCTGTCTGATCCATTTCTTTCTGTCATGACAATCACTTCGAACGGAGTGGGACGTCATTGTGGGAAGGCTTGCTTACAGTCTCTAGGTCTCTAGGTGCTCGTTGCAGCTCTGCCTGCACGTGCGACCCACTACGTCACTATGTTTTCCAAACATGTTGCCCCCAAACTTCTCATTCTCCGACTCAGACCGAGGGCCCTGCAGCGGTGGCTGTGTGGCTGACACCAAATCCTGCGATAATGGTTTCGATTTTATGTTCTTATTGCAGTCCTTGATTCCTTGATTTGAGTAAGCGCTACTGAGCTACTGATTATTTTTGCAGTGCTACATGCCACAGGGACTAATGCTGTTTCTAGTTCCGTGTTGTTTCTAGGCAACACATGTGGAATCGAGCAGTGCCGCGGTTGTCAGGCGCTGCAGCAGCTTCAGGACAGGGCCGTGTCCTGGGTTCCGGTGTAGAGTCGGCGAGTGGGGCTTTGGTGTTCAAGGCTTGCGGAGTTCAGCATTACTACAAGTCGCAAGCCCTTCTGCAGAATCCTAAAGCCTTACCCTTCCATCTGTGCAAGAGGACCCCATCAAGGTTTGCTGCTTAGAGTTGTTGTCTTGTGGCAGGTGTCTTCATTGTAATTTTTGAGGCTCTAATTTCATCAGAGGCTGTCCCCTGCTTCGCCCGTGTGTTATTTGAGCTCTCACTGGATCCGCCTGGACTGTGATATGGCCTCGATGGAGCAACTCCGTGCAGTGTTTCG